TTTGCTCCACTTTAAATACGCGCAGCGGCTAAGTCAATCCAAACGGGAGGCAGCCCTTGGCTCCCTCCCGCCAAGGGCCTTTTCCCAGCTGCTGCTGCCCCCTGCTGGGGGACTCGGGACATCGCAGCCTCCGCGTGATTCTGAGGCCGCTGCTTAAGACTCCCACTTTGCATTCCGGGCGCGCAAAAGACGAGTCCGTCACATTTCCTCCGCCCTTTTTGGAGATGGCCACCGCCAAGCACTGCTTCGGTGCTGGCGTAAACAACCAGGTCCACGTGAACAAGTCGCAAAGCGAACAGCAAAGGTCATTACCATCAGAAGGCAGTGTGCCAGAAGGCAGATGCGACACAGTGCGATACAGGAAGTTCTAGAGCACTGTTCTAGACCCCTCGTGTGCGTTAACTCAGCTGATCCTTGTGGCACCCACAGGGGCAGGGATGACGAAACAGAACTGGAGAAGCAAAGCAGGATTCAAACCCAGAGTCTGAGTACCAGCCCTTGCAAATTTCAACTTAGCAATCAATATTCCCTGCTCATTGGGTTCACACGTCAGCGGTCCTCACCCATGGATGATTTGGGCCACCAGGGGACATTTGGCAATATCTGGAGGCATTTTTCGTTGGGAGAGGGAGCGGATTCTGGCACCTGGTGGGTAGAGGCCAGAGATGCTGCCACACCACACATCGTATAATGCACAGCACAGCCCCCTGCAACAGATACACAATGGCAAAAGTCCCAAAGGGGACAAGCCCTGATCGAAATACGTAAAATTCTCCCAAATCTTCGAGCCCTCTCTTTTGCACTGCCCCCTGATATGAGGAGGGCATTGGAGCAAACCTGCTGTATTGTACGAAAGGTATTCTTCTCGAAGATTCATGCTGAGTAACTCTCCAGAGGATTTCCCCTGAAGTCTCTTATTTACCCAAAGGGATTATGTCGCATTCAGCAATCCTGCTAATAAGAACACTCTGTGAGGAATGAGGCTCTCAGAAGCGGCCCCAGCAAAGGAGAACCCCCTGGGGCAGCGGCAGAGGGGCTTGGGCCACGCAGCGGGCACGTGCACGTGGAATGTCGTGGCTGCCCCTGGCACTGAGCCGAAGCTGCGGCACACGCTGTTTGTCCGGGCTGTCGGGAAGCATCCAGGATGATGGCCCAGTCCCTGGGAACAACTTGTCAGCAGCTGCGTCGCCCAAAGCCCTCGCCTCCAAATCAGCCCAAACAGCCCAGTCCCTGGCTTTGGGGTGGGGGTGAGGGTGGGGGTGGGGGGGGCAGCGCTGTTAACCCCTTCGCCTCCACAAAGCCTATGGGTCTAGAGGCTCTGGGGGTTCTACTGGTCTGGAGCTGCTGTTCGATGGGGCGGGAGGCAGCCGAGGACCTGGCACCCCTTCCAGCAACAAGCCTATTGGCTGCACAGGAGCTGTGTTGCTCAAGGGTCCGTGCTTGTAGAATGAATGCATGACCACTCTACAAGATTCCTTCCTTCATTCAACAATATTTACCAAGCATCTGACCAGGCTGGGCACCGTCCCAGATCTTGGGAGGACAAAAGAGACCAAGTCCCTGTTCCCATGAAGCTTACCTTCTAGGGGAGGGAGAAAGATACTACACAAATAAGCAAGTAAGTATAGGATATAATATCAGGGAGTGGGGAGCGCTCTGAAGAAAGTAAAGGCAAAGAGATGGGACACTGACAGATTGGGGGTGACTCCTTAAACTGGGCGCTTGGGGAGGGCCTCTCCAAGGAGACGACGTTTGGGCAAAGATCTGAAGGTTGTGAGGGAAAGAGTCACGCAGCCACGTTGAGAACAGTAAGTAGAGGGGCCCCGGCGTAGAAAGGGTCTTAGGGAGTTTGAGAAGCAGTAAAGCAGAGAAAACGGATAAAGGTGGGTCCTGGCATGACCCAAGAGCAGAGGTTCTCAAACAGTAGCATGCATCAGAATCACCAAAAAGGCTGCCAGAAACAGTTTGTGGTTCCAACCCGCAGCGTCCAGTTGGCCTGGGGTGGGGCCTAGGAACGAGCATTTCCAACAAGTCACTGTGTGGTACTGATGATGTTGCTGGTCCAGGGACCATAGCAAAGAGTATTTTTTCTTTTCTTCTTCTTTTTTAATGTTTATTTGTTTCGAGAGAGAGAGAGAGAGAGTGTGTGTGTGCGCGTGTGCGCGCGTGCACAGGGGAGAGGGGTAGAGAGAGGAAGAGAGAATCTTAAGCAGGCTCCATGCTCAGCACGGAGCCTGATGTGGGGCTCGATCCCACAAACCAGGACATCATGACCAGAGCCGAAATCAAGAGTCGGACGTTTAACCGACTGAGCCACCCAGGCGCCCCCAAAGAGTATTTTTCCCTAATGCAACAAGTCCTTTCCTCCCTAACACTTAACCCCAAGCAGTCACGGACCGTCGCTGCTTGATCGCCTGCCTCCACGCTGGGTACAGGAGGTTTTCTACTGAGGCCGCAGTGTTTTATGTTTAAGCGCATTGCCAACATTTGAGAGTCGGGGGGGGGGGGGGCTTCACACAAAATTCAGATTCCTGCCTCCTCTAGAAAACAGGTCTGCAGCACTGGCTGCCCCTCCCACAGGGCCACAATGCGACAGAGCCGCCTGGGGCTCTGTCACCTTGACTTCGTAACCCCAGCCACCGGCACAGCGCCTGGCCTCGGGTAGGCACTCAAAGAGAGCTTATTAATGAAACTGGTAAGACCACACCCAGGAAACGCACGAGGACATCAGTTTCAAGAGCTAGGGGACCTGAGGCCAGTTCTGACTCCCGCTGACGTGTTACATGACCTTGGGCTGTCCATGGACCTCAGTGATCACTCTTTCTTCCCAGAGTCACTGCATCGAACAAAAGAGAGGATGTGAAGGGTTTAGCACATGCCTGGCATACGGTACTCCACTCTCACTGCGAGGAACTCCATAAATATTTACTCTCTAGGATGGGAGAAAGTGTGAGAGGTCTTGGAGGCTGGACAGCTCCCTGTTGGGACCAAAGGTGTTGACAGTCTACTTGCGTGCAGTCCCCAGTGCTGTCATTCACTAGCTTTGTGACTCTGGGCATTAGACTTTCCCTTATTTGGGCCTCAGTTTCCCCACCACAAACAGGGATGATACAAGCCCCACAGGGGTTATTGTGTATATCAGATAGGAACATGAATATTAAGCCAATTAATCCTTTAAAGTGCTTCCAATAAGGCCAGCCTTCAGTACGTGCTCAACATATGCCAGCCCTAGCTGTTACAGCTGCTCAGGGAGGGGTTAGACTAGAATTTCTCAGAGGCCCTCATGGCTCCAAAATTTTCTGACCTCTTTGAACCCAGTGACAGTCAGGCAGCTGTCATTAGTCATCAAGAATATAGAGAAGGCCCTTGGTATCGTGGAGGCAGTGGAGTAGAATTCGCTGTAAGGGGTTTAGCACCTCACTGGAAAAATCCAAAATGCTCTTACAATGGTGCTGACCAAAATCACAGAGTAGCAACCACGAGAGGAGGAGTGGATGTGGTGCAGAGGACAACAGCCTACGAGAGAGGCAACATTACCCCCTCGCAGACGAGAAAACGGAGGCTCCAGAAGGCTACCCCTGGATGTGTCTCTGTGTCTCAGCTCCACGCACCTGCCTCAGGAGGGTGACTCAGTCAAGGGGTCCTTTGAGGGATTAACCGGGTCATGATGGACAGCACAGCCTGGAGGGGGAAGCAGGAAGGCCAGGCAGGGGCATTCTGACTCCCTATGAAGGCCGAAACCTTCATAGCAGTTGGGTGACTGTGTGTGTGTTCACTGCCCTGCACGCGGCTGGTGGCCACACAAAGTCACAGGGCAGCTGAGAAAAGTGCCTGGTCACTGAACGGTAAGTGATGGGAATACCCGTTGCGCAGGCGTCTTCACCCAGGGGCTGCTCCTCCCTCTCAGCCAGCCAGCCATCCCAGATTGGGGAGGGGCAGCAGGAGTGACAACGGGGGTACATCTAGCCATGATGTCATCACCATGATGGTGATAAGCCAAGTATGTCCTGATAAATTTCTTCTCTTTCATCCATTCAACACTCACTGTTGAGCACCTAACACACTTCCCTCTTTGACTCCTCAGGACAACCCCAGAGGCGGGTTCTGCTAGCCCGTCTTTAAAGGGGAGCGAAGAGGCCGGGACGACGGCCTTGATTTCAGCCTGGTTTCCGGACCACAGAGCAAGAGGGACCTCCCCGGAAAGTCAGCGGAGATGGGTGCACCCTCCCCGTGTGGTGGGGAACGTCCTGGAGGCCGGCTTTCATTCATTATGTGCCAGCTCATTTTACAAGCGAGGAAACGGGTTTGGCGGAAAGCACTTCAAAGTCCCGAGTCCAACCCCTCCCCGCCCCCCATCAAAGTTTCCTTGTTCTCCCTTCTTTTCACAGACATCACTAGAAATACTTTCACATTTTAGATTTTGCAGCGCATAATATCGTTGGGCTTTAAAACAAGACTTCCCTGCGGGATGCGGGGCAAGAATCGGATTTCCTGATGCACGACACAGTCTTGCTCCCAGGAGCCGGCGACCTGGAGCCACAAAAACCTCTGCGAAGCCAAACCAGCTCACAGCTCCGCTCCGGCAGCTGCGGCCACGTTACTGCGCAGGCGCCGCTGCAAACTCCCGCGCGCCAGACGCGCCCCTCCTGGGCGAACTCACTTCCGGAAGGGCGGGGGGAGCGACGAATCCCCCTTCCTCTCGAAGATGGTCCGAGCCAGCCTCTGGCCAATCAGAAAGCTTCTCTTTTCACCGCTTCTGGCTGGAGGAGGCTGGGAGTTTCATTTCCCTGAACTTTCCGGCGGCGCGGGGGCGGGAGGTGGAAATGATTGACATCTCCAGTAGCCATTCGTCTAGCGGAGTGAGCTTGACGGGCAGACACCACTAAGAAGTGTCTGGCCGGAGGGAGCTATGGGCCCCGCCCCCTCCTCCCACTGGCCTCCGAGAGCCGGGGTGGGGTGGGAGCTTTTGGCCGCAGCCAATCGAGGGTCAGCAAGGAGGAGGAGGAGGAGGCGGGGTACGTGGGCAGTGGTTGCCCGGGGAGCGCGTCTGGCACCGTGCTGGGGTTGGGGTCGGATGGCTGCGGCGTCGCGCTTCCCGATCCCCACTGCCAGGAGCTAGGCTGGGAACGAGCGGGAGCCCCGTCGCCACGCTCGCACCTTCCAGGCTGCCTTCTGAGACCTGAAGCCGGGCCCCGTCTGGCGCTCCTCTGCGCCTCCGCCCCGACCCTCGCGCGCGATAGTCGCCCCCATCCCAGAGGGTCCGGACCGCACTGTCCCTGTCCGCACCGCGGCCCCAGGCCCCTTGAGTGTCTGCCGTCCCCACTTCCCTTCCCCGGCCCCCCCCCCCCCCCCCCCGACGCTTCTAGCAGCCGCTCTTCCCCTGTCTGGTCCGCGGAGGTGGTTGGTTACCATGGTGAAGCTGGCGGCCAAATGCATCCTGGCAGGTGAGTTTGAAATTTAGTCTCCAGAATCCAGAGACTTCGTAAGTTACTGAGAGCTTTTATTCGCGTAAATTGTCTACCCTGTTTTCCTTTCTCTCTTCCAGAGATGAGTTAATGCGATTACTGATAGAGTAAACGCCACTAGGGGTGGAAGAATTCTCTTCCAGGGCACATTTGTAGCTCCAGCAGATATCCCCGCTCCCTGTCATACTCTGAGACCACCTTCACCAGTTTAAACTATATTCAGGAGGAGTAGACTCGTTAAAAAAAAAAAAAAAATCAGGCTAAGCACGCCATAAATGCTTCATCCAAACCATGTGGTGTATCCCAGTGTTAGGCATCGGTAACTTTGGTAGTCAGTAGTTGTGGGATTTTTTTTGTCCTGATCGCACCCCCTCTGGTAACAGGGATGGGAAACCGTAATGTACAGTCGACCAGAGTTTGCAAAAGGGCCATGTGTGTTGCCTTTAAGAGCCAGACTTCCCATGCTGCCCTGCACTCAGGAGGTTATAACTGTTGAATCCTCCAAAGGCAGGAATCTCTGTTTGGTTGACTCCCGCGTCCCAAGCATCCTGAACAATATCTGGAACCCAGGAGGTACTCAGTAACTAGTTGTGGAATGAATGCCAATGTGGCATTCCCATTTGTATTATTTGTACTGTTCCCTTTGTATGTCAGCACATTCAGGAAAATATTTGCCAGGATTTTGACCTGGGGCCCCTGAACACAGATGTGCTTTACTGAGTCCTTAGTGCATGCCGGACACATGCACTTCATTCAATCCCCTCACCGCAGCACACTGGGGTCGGTGCTGTATTGTTTGATCTTACCGAGGCACTGAGAGGTCAAGTCTCTTGCCCAGGGTCACCCCCTCGTGAAGGAAAGTCCTAGGCAGGATCTCAGCCCCCCAAACCTGCCCAGCTGCAAAACTCTTCACTTGTGTTACCGTTGAACCCCGGGATCTCTCTAGGGTTCCCCGACCAGCCCATGAAAGAAATGGTATAGAGGAGGAAAAAAAATTCCCCTTTTGATTCCTCTCTTCCAGACTGAAATTGATGATATTTTTAATGGCCTTTCTAATCTGAAAAGACACAGAAAGATGCCTGACAGTAGTAACTCAGATCACACTGGAGCAAAAAAATTGGTGGTTCTCAAGAGAGATCTGTAGTTTCCAGAGTGCCAGGAGAGGCAGTATTGTGTAACAAAAGTAATTCTGACTGTTCCTTTGAAGGGCTGTGTCATCTTGGGCACAGCATTTCTCTAAGCCTCAGTTTCCTTGCGGATGAGGTTTTTATTTTCTGAAGTTGTGTATTTTTTTAAATGGGCTTCTCTGACTGTTCTCTCATTTCTTTTTTAATTCCATTGCCATCCCGCGGGGCTAACTTACAGAGCACCTTCTGTGTGCCAACACTGTACTCGAACCCTCAACACAGGTGTCTCACTGAGTCCTCACAAGAACCCTGAGGGACTGGTATTATTTGGCATCCTATTTGCAGGCGGGGCATCTGAGGCCCAGAGAGGGTAAGACACTTGCCCTGGGTCACACAGCTGGATGCAGCAGAGCTGGCCTCCAGACCCAGGTGATCTGGTTTCCAGGGCTTTGTGTTTAGCCTCCGGCTACACTGTCCTCAAGCCTCAATGCTAGACTCTTTGCCCCTCTTGACACCGAGCCCCCAGGTACGATTTCACCTGATTTCAGCCACTGCCTGAGTGATTCTCGAACTCCAGTCTAGTCCTCAACTTCAGCCTCCTTTCAGGGCCTTGAGGGCATTTCCTCTTGGAAGTTTCCAGGACCCGAAAGACCTCAGCACAGCGAATCAGGCCCCCCTGCCCCACCACCCACCAGAGTCTCATTCTCTACAATGGCCCCACCACATACACCACCCCCCCCACACACACACTGGTTTTATTTTTTCCCTCTCTTATAACTAGTCAGTGAGGGACCTGATATTCAGTTCAAGTGCTTTTATTCATTCAACAGATATTTATTGAGCACCTGTGTGTGAATCACCGCGTAAGGTACAGTGGGACTACGGGGGTGAACCAGGGCAGCCCCCACACTCACGGAAGGGCTGAGACGTGCGTGATACTTTATAATCAAGCAAACACAAAGAGAATGCCGGTTGTGTCCCAGATACCAGAGAAATCCCTCAGAGCACAGCTGCTCCTTGTTCTGACTCAGATGAGGAGAGGGGACAACCCTTGACATTTATCTGTTGTGTTTACCCAAAACCCACTTAAATATGACTTGAAGCATGTCAGGCACTGCCCATATTAAGCTCATTACGTCCTCCTAACGATTCTACGAGATAGGTGCTTATTGTCCGCCTTTTATAGAAATGGCAACCGAGGCCCGGAGAGATCGCTGACCCAAGGTCACACAGCTGGTGAGGGATGGCGCTGGAGCGGGGACTTGGGTTTACTGCCCCTTGGTAGCAGTGGGGATGAGAATCGCGCCTCGCCAGAAGGTGGCTCGGAAACGGTCTCATGCTACCAGCCGTGAGCCTCACGGGTGACGACGAGAGGGAGACCTGGAGGGAGGTTCCCTCTGAGGGCTTCTCGAAGGTCAAGAGCGCAGGGGCGTGGAGCCTAGATGTGGCGTAAGGGACAGCTGGGGAACGAGTGGGATGGGAGCGTTTCCTGTGGTATGTCCGTCAAACAGGTCCTGGAAGGCAGCACCGAGAGCAACTACAGGAAGGGTCCCCCCGCCCCGGGCTGAGGGAGGCAGGGAGGCAGACAGGTCTTCGGAAGCTCAGGAAGAGAGCTCCCCGAGGAGCCGAGATGCAGACCTGAGAAGAGGGCACTGTCCCCCCGCTGGTGGCGTCTCCGAGCGGGAGTAAAAAGGCTGGTCCAGTAATAAACTGGAGAGAAGTAAATACCTACTGCCGGAGTAAAGGCCATTGCCAACGTACTGCTTAGACAGCAGGCACATGGGAAAGGGGCGAGTCCCTCCGCCCTCCCCCACCTGCCAGTCTTTCTCTAGAACGTGCACTGGCAGAGCCGGACAGGAAGCCCCTGGCAGAGGAGACCCCCCGTGAGCAGAGTCCCGGCTCCCACGTCCCGGGGCGGGACACAGAGCCCGGGCTGAGGCCTGAGGTAACCAGTGCGCTGTCCTCAGGGACGACAGAGGCAACGCGGGCTTGAGATAGAGCGGAGGCAATTGCAGATAGAGACAGCAGTTGCAGGAGCCTGGGTACAGCCGGGAGGCATGAGCACCTGGTGACATGGGCGGAACAAGTGGGTTAGGTCAGCAAGACTCCTTGGGACCTGGGGGTGCGACGCAAGCCTGGCTGTCGACAGCTAGATCGGCTGAAGGCCCAACATTCTAGTGGAAACATCCACGGGTTGTTGGAGATAGAGACCAAGCGTGGGAGAGAGAAGTGACAGGGGAAAGAGAGTAAACGGGACAGACTAACTGGGAGCAGACAGACCCACAGGAGTGCCCACGTTCGGAGGCAGGAGAACCAGGCCAGTGGGAGGACACGGGGGGCCAGGCGGGAGGGGGCTGCTTCGGGCCGACTCATCCTTCAGAGACACCAAGGAGCAGGGGAGCCGAGAAAAAGCCATTGGACTTGGCAGTGACCTCGCATGGCGCCTTTGCAGGCGTCCCTCCCTCTGTCCCCCAGGCTCAGCCCCCTCCCCCCTACCACCCCGAGGAAGTCGGCCTCGCTGCCGAAACTGCTCATTCGTTCCTTTCCTCGACGCACCCTCAGATGCTTTGGTTCTCAGCTTGGCGCTGTTTGCCTTTGCACTTGTCATCGTGTTGCTCTGCAAATGTGTTTATCAGTTACTTGCCTTCCTTGTGCCGGATCCCTCCTCAGCCGACGCTCGAGGTTTTCCATAAGTGTGGGTGACTCTGACTGACAGTCGGAAGGAAGATTTATGAAATTAACTAGAACAAATCTGTGGGGGATTTCACGAGCAGGAAGAGCCAATTTCCAACTGGATTCAGACGCAGAATTGGAGTCAAGCGGGTGGAGACAGAGCGCAAGAGGGAGAGTGATATGCTCTGTTTGTTCAGAGATGGATGGGTACCCGGCCACCGTGCAGCCCGTGGCCGCCTCTGATGTCAGGCAAGGCTGCGGCGATGGGGGCCTGCAGGGGCAGTGTTAGAAATGGGTCAGGAGTGTCCCTGAGCGCTAGGAGAGGAGTGGGGTCCGGCGGGAAGAGTGAGATGTAGGAATCCTGCGCCCGGTTACCCAGCTTTCCCTGAGCCTCGGAAGCATCATCTGTCAAGTGAGGCTGATGGTCACGGTAGGGGGTGGGGCCTGGGAAGGAGGGAACAGGACCGTGGGAACGGTTCCCTTCTGAGACGCGGTGGTAAACAGAAAAGCAAGACTGAGTAGCTCACTCAGCCCTGGAGGAGTGCACAGGAGAAATGCCACAAGTAGGCAAGTAATGGCCTCGCAAGAGAAGATTATATAGGTGGGAAAAGTCAAAACCGAAAAGCGAACAGAGCAAGCGGGCTGTGGAGAAGTCAAGAGGCACCTGGAAGCCGACTGTAAAACAGAGCGAAAGCGAGGCGATCGCCCCAGAGGGCACAAGACAGACGGACACGAACGCCCTGGTGGCTTTGCTGAGGAGCCTGGGCCGGAAGGAGAATCTGTAACACTCAAGGCCCAGAAGATCTCACGAATGAGAACAAGGCTGGCATCGCCAGAGGCAGAGCAGGGTCATGGGGAAGCGGTTGGGGGTGGGACAGGGGGACTAGGGGTGGGCATGGAGAGCCTCCAGATTAAATTGCTCCCCACAGGGGCGCCTGGGGGACTCAGTCGGTTAAGCGTCCAACTTCGGCCCAGGCCATGATCCCACGCTTCGTGGGTTCGAGCCCCGCGTTGGGCTCTGCGCTGACAGCTCAGAGCCTGGAGCCTGCTTCCGATTCTGTGTCTCCCTCTCTCTCTGCCCCTCCCCTGCTTGCACTCTGTCTCGCTGTCTCCCAAAAATAAATACTAAAAAAAAAAAAAATTGCTCCCCACAGTCTTGTGAAAGGTCCAGATCTCAAACTGAAAGTATGACATAAACCTTTAGTTTGGAGATACCGATTCATGGGGCTGTCGACCCACGAAGGCAGGTGGGGAGGTAAACCCCGGGAGGCGTAAAGCAAGCTCGGGGGAAACGGTGGCTGTTGTAGATAGACTGTAGACAGACGTGGGGAGGCCCCTGGGATGACGGATCCGCAGTGCTGCTGGGCACGCCGAGGCCAGAGTGGAACGTGTCACTTGGAAATGGATTTCAGGTTGGCCGATGTAGCAGGCAGACTCCTTGCTTCCCGTAAATGCAGAAACCCTCCCAGCTCTCACCACCCCCCACCCCGAAAGAAGCACGCAGGGTCCTAAGTATGGGAGCTCTGAACTCAAATTGGTTCCGCTAGGCAGGTGAGCCTATGAGACTGAGCCCTTTACCTTGGAGACTTCAAAGTACGTTCAAGTTTGAAAGTGACAGCTTTTCCCCATGGGGTGTGTGCAGTGAAACAGTGTGTCAGCTCTGTTCCGAGTGCTCTGAAGCCTTCCTTAAGCTCTGTTACCTTCTGGGTCAGTTCTTTTGGATGAAAGGATTACCCTTGAAGAAATGCAACCGGGCTTTGAAGACTGGTCTCCCGGACCCGTGGCCCTGCCGGCCACCTCCCAAGTCCCCATGAGAGCCAAGTACGTTTTCTCTGAAAACTCATTGAAGTTTCTGGTTTCTAACTAGCACTCTGGAGTGGGGGTGGGGGGGGGGGCGGTGGTTCTCAAGCCAGATCAGGACAGAAATGATGGTTTTCTCCTCCTCTGACCTCACAGGAGACCCGGCAGTGGGCAAGACCGCCCTGGCACAGATCTTCCGCAGCGACGGAGCCCATTTCCAGAAGAACTACACCCTGGTGAGACGTGGGAGTCGTAGGCTGGCCGAGGCTTAAAGAGAAACGGTCGGGGGCGCCTGGGTGGCTCAGTCAGTTAAGCACCCGACTCTTGTTTTCGTGAGTTTGAGCCCCGGCCGGGCTCTGTGCTGACAATGCAGACCCTGCTTGGGAATCTCTCTCTCTCCCCCCCACCTCTCTGCCCCTCCCCTGCTCATACTGTCTCTCTCTTAAAATAAATAAATAAACTTGAAAAAGAATTTAAAGAGAAATGATCATCCTTCAGCCCTGAGGGAGTGACTTTCCAGAATTCCTTGAGAAGCCCTACAGTCTGATGGGAGGCTGCTTGAATGGCCACGTGGAGATCACTTTTCCACGAGCCTCAGGGCGTGAGGCTGCCTGTGGTGCAGACGGGCCAGTGGCCCACTGGGTGACCATATACACCTCCTTGTGAGCCGGGAGTGGGAGGAGCCTAGTTGGTCCTGTCCGACTTCTACAGCAGTGAATCCAGAACATAGCAGTTCTGCCTCCTGGGCATCAGATGTTCATCGTGGCCTTTAACACGCCTCTTGGGAGCCTCTGACGCGCGTATTCTCGGTTTTCCTCGGCAGACGACAGGGGTGGATTTGGTGGTGAAGACGGTGCCAGTCCCTGACACGGGGGACAGCGTGGTAAGTGGTGCCCTTGACCTGAGAGAGCTCACCGCTCCTCCAGCTGGGCCCAGAGTCCCTGTGGTCACTGTCTTCCTCCCTGAGAGGGAATACTGTACCAGCACTTGGCCTCGGCTTGTCTGAGCACTTGGGAAGAGTCGCTGATACGGGCTGGGAGGACTGGGATATGGGCCCTGCCCTCACAGAACTTACTGGAGTATCAGGGTCCTTAACCCGGGGCCCTGTATGGGAGTCCACAGCTCTGGAAATTGAATCGCAAGGCATTGTGTTTGCATGTGCTTTCCTGGAGAGAAGGTTTAAGAATCCCCACCTTCCACGGGGCGCCTGGGTGGCTCAGTCAGTTAAGCGTCCGGCTTCCACTCAGGTCATGATCTCGCGGTTTGTGGGTTCGGGCCCCGCATCGGGCTCTGTGCTGACAGCTCGGAGCCTGGAACCTGCGTCGGATTCTGTGTCTCCCTCTCTCTCTCTGCCCCTCCCCTGCTGGCGCTCTGTCTCTGTCTCTCTTTCTCGCTCTCTCAAAAACAAACATTAACAACAACAACAAAAAAAGAATCCCCGCCTTCTTAAAGAGATCCATGAGAAAACACAGTTTTAGGTACCCCCGATGCAGTGAGAAAGCATGAAACGCAGATTACAGCACTGACCTTCAGACCGTGTGCCGGGGTCAGAAGCCAGCCAGGGGGCATCAGTGCCCAGGGGAGCCGAAGGGGGAGACTTCCCAGAGCAGCAGCAGCGGGGAGGGGCTCTCGCATGGGCTGGCCGAGGTTCGGGCAGGGGCAGGAAGGGTCATCCTCGGTCTTCTGTCTGAATCCCACCATCGGAGACCGACGGCAGGCTGTCCTACTTTAAGCGCCTTCCCCAGGCCTACTCGGTGACCTGCTTTAAAAAAGAATTGTCTGAAGATCTGAAAATCAATTTGGTTAACAAAGTGCAGAATGACCTTTTGGAAACCAGAGCACGTGTCAGCCTGTTTAGCGCTCCTGGGACTTTTGGGTTCGGGGTGAGGAGAGGTGAGCCGCCACACAGAAAGTGCTGGTTGTGCCGGCTGTCTCAGGTCTGCGGTGAGCCCAGCGTCGTCTCGGGGACTTGCGGCCAGCGATTTCCCCTCTACATGCAGACTTTCTTGGGACTTGCCTTTCTGGTTCTAGGAACTCTTCATTTTTGACTCTGCCGGCAAGGAGCTGTTTTCGGAAATGCTGGATAAATTGGCAAGTAGCCTGCGATCTTTTCCCTAACCCCCGCCCCCGCCCCCTTCCGCCAGAAAGTTGACCCCTTCGCTGCTCTCCCGGCAAGGTCACTGCAGCCTGGCTGCCTGGAGGACAGTGCTACCAAGGCAGAGTTCTTCAAGGGCCATTCCTCCCCGCCTTGGGACTTGGCGGCTTCTTGGCCAGCGGGACTGGCTCTCGTGCACGTGATTCCCCCGCCCCCAGCTCTGGAATGGCCGGGTTCAGAATGTGCCGGAGCCGTGTGACTCAGTCCCCGCAGCACTCTGGGCCCCCCTTCTTTAGACGGCCCCCGCTGGTGATGCCAGGAGCAAATATTTCCTTCTCCCTGTAGCGAGAGACTCACCTTGGCCCAGTCCCCGGGGTTTGCTCTGGGCCCTGTGCCTACTGCCGCCCCAGGCCTATCGTGCCCACCCGCCCATCCTCTCAGGATCCCGCTTGCTGTACCTTCCAAGGTAACAGTTCTGCTAATCCGGGCCAGTGAGCTAATTACAAGGTTTGAGCTCTCCAGAGCCCTCCCCTGCCTTTCCAAGAATGGCCACATTTTAATAGAAATCGTTTCCTGCCCCTTTTTTGTGGTCTAAAAGAAAGAGGTCTGATGATTGTCATCTCTCACGGGCCTGGCTTCATGCGTCAATCCGTGATGTTTACGGCGCGCCTGCTGTGGGCACGGCCTCGCCCTGGGTGCTGGCCTGCGGGGCAAAGGGAGGATGTGTCTGGGCAAGTCAGGGCCACCTGGTACCGATCGGCCCAAACCCTGACTCGGGGCTCCTGCGCTGGCTCCAGCTCGATCCCAGGCCTGTCCTGGGTCACCTCACTGAGGCCTAGAGGAACGAGGTGTCTCCCTCACGCACAGAAGGGGAGATCAAGCAAGACTTCTTGAGTTAGTCTGCGGGGTGAAGGTGCGAGGGGTTCATCCTCTCAGTCCAAGTGGCAGCCTAGCCTTGGGAAGGAGTGAGCCCTCTAGAGCCAATCCTGGGCTGGCCTTGCCAGGACAACTGGAGGGACGAAGGATTCTTCCCCACACCCTGGAGGTTATGGACACACCAGAAATAAACTGTAATTGTGCAGGACGGGGGTGCGCAGAGGGGAGGGCAGGGTAAGAGAGCCTCACACACCAGGACGGGCATCACAGCCTGAGCAGGGCTGTCCTGTGCCCTTGTGCCGGGCAGCAGGACGTCCCAGGACTCTGAGCGGCCCCTGAAGGCGATGGCCCTCGCGGGCACGGCCCTGGTTCGTAATTGGGACAGTGAGCCCTGTCCAGTTGTTGGTCTGGTTTGGACTGGGGCTGGCACGCTGCAGGAGAAGCAGAAAGTGCCCTTTGCATTGGGAACAGCCGGCCCTTATTAGGAAGATGCGGGACAAACAGGTTTCCCGTGGCTGGCTAACGGAAGAAAGGATGCCTATTAGGCCTGCAAAGCAGAAAAACCTAATAAGTTGTATGAGAGCGGGCCCTCCCTAGGAATGCGACCAAGTACGAATGAATGAAACCAGTGGCAGGCCAGAGCTTTTCTGGGTAGAAAAAAGCCTCAGTCCTACCCCAGTCATTAAAGCATGTCTGATCTGGGCAAGTCAGTTACCCTCTCTGAACCCAGTGTCTTTAGCTAGGCAGCAGGGATATTGAGACGGGCCCCGCAGGGTCGGGAGGTTTCTCAGCCATGCACAGAACGCGCCCAGCAGGCAGCCTGGCGCGGAGGTGAGCCCGTGCCCTCCCCTTCGTTCCTTTGGGTGAATTGTTTTCTCCCGCGGGCTGGCTCAGTTTTCTGACTCTCATCCCTAGTAGAGGTCGTCTCCCCACCCCCTGTCCCTTCCCTCGGAAGGCCAGATTTTTCTCCCAGCCTAGAAATCGCTGTCACCGTTACTGACGTGCACTCATCCGGCCCGTCCCGCACAGTGGGAGAGTCCCAACGTCTTGTGTCTCGTCTATGACGTGACCAACGAGCAGTCCTTCACCAACTGCAGCAAGTGGCTGGAGAAGGCTCGGTCCCAGATCCCAGGCACGTCTCTCCCAGGTAGGAGCTGCGGCCATCTGCGTTTTCCAGCAGCACCTCTGTCCCTCAAGTCCACGGGCGCGAGGTCATTGCAGGGGTGGCTACGGGTGTAAAACAGGGTGCCCCCGGCTTTGAGTATGGTGGTCTGGATTGAACAGTGGCTCTGCCTCTTAGCACAGTCACCACACACCTCCGTGAGTCCATAACACGGGCAGATGACGCCCCTCGCCCCCCACCCCCAGCCTTGCAGGGTGACGGAGAGGAGACTCAAGATAATACGGGGAAGGTGCAGTGATAGGAATGAGATTTTATTTCTGAAAGCCAGCCCTGGGGATGAATTCCTCATTTTCTCCTGTATGTGGGGCGCAAGTAAACATTCAAGTCCTATTGTCACTTCTGAATGCTTTAAATCAGTTTATTTTTCATCCCTATGTGAGATCAACAAATTCCCCTCATTAGAGACCAGGGAAGCGATCTCCAGAGACGGGCTCAGAAATTAGTTGCAGCTGATGCAGCTGGGAATGGAACTAAATTACCTCTGAGTCCCTGACTCTGAGCCCAGCCCTTAGATTAGTATTAATGACCATTTTTAACGTTTGCTCCATGTGCTAGGAATTATCACAAACGCTCACATAAATTTGGCCGTCGCCTTGCAGCCTTAAGGAGACAAGGCAGACAGATCCACGTGAAGTCTAGAAGAAGGGCTGAGCAAGAGCTGTGTGGGAAAAGCAAAGCCCGCCTCCTCTCCCGGGGCCCTCGGGGGCGGGCCCTGGACCCTCTCTCTCTCCCGGTGCTCACCACCTCGAATCAGGCAGCCTCCCCCAGCGTTGCAGACCCCTCGAAATCCGTGTGCTTTGCTCTTTTCTCTCTCCAGCTGTCCTCCCAGGCTGCCACAGTTCAATGTGATGCTTTGGTTGTTTCTTTCGAGTAGGTGTGTTAGTGGGGAACAAGACAGACCTGGCCGGCAGACGGGCGGTGGATTCGGCTCAGGCCCGGGCGTGGGCCCTGGGCCAAGGCCTGGAATGTTTTGAAACATCCGTGGTAAGTACCTCCGCCTGCTCCGTGGCCACGTCTGGACTGGGCCCCTGCTGGGTGTGGTTTCTCACGTGACCTCATAGGCACGGAGTCAGTATGCTCCCATACCCAGGTTGTCATTTGGAGCTGACGTTCCCATTCCTAGTCCAGGATCTTTTCTCAGGAGCCACTCGTGCGCTACGGTAAAGCAGATCGGCCGGCCGGCCCTGGAAAAAGTTGTATCTCAGTTTAATAAGAAACACAAGCGCGTCGGGTTCGATCGTAGCGACCGTTGGCATTTGCGTGAGACGGGATGGATCACGGTGCTGCCGGCACATTATCTGACGGTCCTCACGGTACCGTGGGCCTGGGAGCCGGGCCCTTAATAAGCCCCACTTCCGTGTTGAGGAGGTGAAGGGACTCGCCCAAGGTCCCGTGACTGTTCAGTTGCCGTGCGGATGTGAACCTTTTAAATCCCCCCCAAGCGGCCTGCTCCCTTGGGAAAGCGTCGCGGGTAAAGGCCAGCGCTCTGCCCAGCGATGGCGAAGCAGCAGGGCTGAACCGTGGGACCCTTGGCGGGTCCGTTAGTTTCTTGGTGCCTCAGGCTCCTCACCTGTAAAATGGGGATAATAAACTCCCATTCCTCATTGAGTGACAAATAGGAGAATTAAGTCAGATGGCGAATACGAAAACATTGGCACAAAGCCTGGTGCGTAACACACGCTCGATAAATATTTGCTTTTTCACATGGAATTATTCCCCCTAGTCATCTTCTGGATAGTGTTGTTGCCTCAAAGTTTTGCAATCCTAGATTCTGCAAAGCTAAGTGTCCCTCTTACCTTCTGGCCCGATCATCGCAAATGCTCAACTAATGAAATTCCAATTCGTGAGCTTTTGAGGATAGGGTTTTCTCATCTTTGGTGTCGTGTGCCCCTGAGCCACCCACATCAGGCCATACGGTAAGAGCTTGGATTGCGAGTAACTTGTTCTGCGAATGTTCCGCCAGGCGAGCAACCGTTGTTTTTTTCTTTTTTTTTTTTAAAGTTTATTTATTTTGAGAGAAACAGAGACAGCGCAAGCAGGGGTGGGGTGGGGAGAGAGAGAATCCCAAGCAGGCTCCACGCCATCAGTGCAGAGCCCCACACGGGGCCCGACCCCAGGAAACCGTGAGGTCATGGCCTGAGCAGAAACCGAGGGTTGGACGCCTAGCCGACTGAGCCACCCGGGCGCCCCCAGAACTTACTCATCTTAAAACTGGAACTTGGCGCCCCTCGCTCATTTCCCCCACCTCCCCTGGCAACCCCCCCACCTGCTTTGTGCTGCCGTGACTTCTGTTTCTTCAGATCCACGCGTAAGCGAGAATCTGTCTGCCTTCTCTGTCTGCCTTCTTTCACTTAGCATGATGCCCTCAAGGTTCAGCCACGGTGTCACAGGCAGCAGGATTTCCTTCCCTTTTATGGCTGAACAATATCCCATTACGCACATACACAGACCACGGTCTCTAATTCATCCGTTGATGGACACTTAAGTTGTGTGCACATCTTGGCTATTAGGAATAATGCAGTGAGCATGAGGGTCCAGACATCTCTTCAAGGCAGCGATTTCATCTCCTTTGGGTATTTACCCAGAGGTGGGATTGTTGGACCGTCCGGTAGTTCAAGTTTTAACAGTTGAGGGACCTCCACGCTTTTCCAGAGTGGCCTCATCCCTTTGCGTTCCTACCAGCAGTGCCGGGGGGGGGGGGGGGTCCCTTTCTCTCCACGTCCTCGCCGGCACCTGCCATCTCTCTAGGGTAACGGGCATCCCAAGAGGCGCGAGGTGGGTCTGGTCGTGGTTTTGGCTCGCCTTCCCCTGCGGGTGAGAAGCGTCTGGCACCTTCTCACGTACCAGTTCGTCACTTGAATATCCTTTTCGGGAAAACGTCTGTTCGCTCCTCTGCCCATTTTTTAAAATCCGATTATTTACGTTTTTGCTATTGAGTTATCTAAGTTCCTCATATATTTTGAGCATTCACCCCTTATCGGATGTGTGATTTGCAAGTATTTCCTTGTTTTCCATCGGTTGCCCTTTCGTTTTTTGTTTTGTTTTAGTGTTTATTTATTTTTGAGAGAGAGAGAGAGAGAGAGAGAGAGGTAGAGCACAAGCAGGGGAGGGGCAGAGAGAGAAGGAGACACAGAATCCGAAGCAGGCTCCAGGCTCCCAGCTGTCCGCACAGAGCCCGACACGGGGCTCGAACCCACTGACTGCGAGCTCATGACCTGAGCCGAAGTCGGACGCTTAACCGACTGAGCCACCCAGGCGCCCCTGCTCTTTTCATTTTGTTGTTTCTTTTACTGCACAGAAGCTTTTCAGTTTGATGTAGTCCCAGTTATTGATTTTTGCTTCCACTGCTTGTGCTTTGCTGTTATATCCATAAAATCATTGCCAAGTTCCGTGTCCAAGAGCTTTTTCCCGACGTTTTCTTCTAGGACTTTTATGGTTTTCGGTCTTAAGTTCAGACCTTGAGTCCATTCCGAGTTAATTTTTGTGAATGCTGTAAAAGCTTCATTCTCTTGCATGTGAATATCTGGTTTTCCCAGCATCATTTATCACAGAGACTATCGCCCACGTATGCAGGGGTTTATTTCTGGGATCTCAGTTCTGTTCCGTTGGTCTTTGTATCTGTTTCTATGCCAGGGCCATCCTGTTTTGATTGTCGCTGCTTCATAATATAGTTTGAAATCAGGACATGTTGACCCCTCCAACTTGGTTCTTCTTTCTCGGGATTGCTTTGGCCATTTGGGGTCTTTTGCGGTTCCTCTTAGACTTTCTAACACCCCTCAGTATTTGACATTAAGCGTTGTTTTAAGCACGTTAAAATAGAAACATAAAGTGTCCATCGGTGTAGGACAGTATGAAATGCAAGCAAGTTCAAGAAGGATCCCCTCCTTCTTGAGGAGGGTTCCTCTTGCAGGAAGGTGAGGGAGGGAACCGACGTTTGCTGAGGGCCTGCTATGGGCTAGGTGTTTGCACACGTTCTCTGCTGCCGACACTTCTGGAAGCCCTGGCAGACAGCCACCGCTGTCCCTCTCTTACAGATGCCGAGCAGACTCCGAAAGGTCACATAGCTCTCCCTGGTTGCCCAGCTTATGAGCAGTCGGGCCAGGACTAGAATGCAGGCCTGTCTAGCATGAGAACCTTCTAGAAGGAGCTCTGGCCTGCCACAGAACCAACTTTGGGACTCTCAGGGGCAGAACTATAGGCCAGATTGAGCACTGGTCTGAGAGCCTGTTCTAAGGATCTTTCACACAAAGCGGACATCCTCTGGGGTATGTCAGTGACACTGTGATCGGTTAACAGAAGGGTTCCAGGATTCTTGTCATTGGCAAACCCTCTTAATGCCTTCGGAAAGTGGTTCCGTCTACATCTGCTACTTCAGGAGTGCTCCCTGGTATACAGAGAGGCTCATCTCCACTGCATTTCTTAACTTTTTAATATTATTTATATATTATACATATATATATATATTTAAATAAATAAATATTATAAATAAATGTTATAAATAAATTATATATTAATATATTAATATAAATAACTATTTTATATGTATTATATATTATATGTTAATAAATTTATATATATATAAGCTTCTGTAAATAATATTTATATAATATATAATTATAATGTATATACTATATAATATATTTATATATGTATATAAATAATGTTTCTATTTTATATATATATTATATTATTATTTAATATTGCGTTTTCCCCACATCTTGCTTCTGGGAGCTCTCAGATTCATTTGGAAATCCCTGTGTGTGTCCTGCGTAGGCCTCGTTCTCTTTCCGCTCCTTACTTAACGATCCTTTCAGCCAGTGTAACATTTTACTATTTAACATTGGCGTTGCCCGGAACACACATCTGCCTTGCCAATGTTCTTTCTCTCCTGTCCGACTGGAGGGCTGCTGGTCCTTGACAGTGGGGGTTCTCGTCTCGCCTACAGACGGCCCCCCTCGCTCCTCAGCACCGCCCCCTCTGTGTCGGCTCTCGGCCAACTTGTCTCCTTCAGCTTGGGATGTCCCTTGCTAGAAAGTCTGGGTGACACGCTCCGTGAGAACTGGTTTCCGTTGTGCATTTCTGTCGCCCCAGCTGGCGGAGCGGAAAGGCCGCTCTTCTCCCGTTGGGGAGTTCGAATCCCCGGCCCGGCTCTGCACACACCAGCTGAGCCACCGCACCCCCCCCCCCCCCCGGGCCGCAGACCGCTCCCCTACAAGACGAGGGCAGTGGGCTCGATGACTTCGGAACATTCTTCAGTTTGGAAATCCTTCCCTTTCGTTGGGGAGGTATTGTTGCCTCTTGTCAAGGCTGCACTTGTGGCCGCTGCCTAGGATTGTTTGGAAACAGGTTCTCATGCGTTCCCAGCTTGAGCTTCTGCCCTGAAAGGAGCGGGCTCTTTCTTCTGGCAACTTATTTCGCAAAACAGTCGGTAAGTCACAGATGCACACGTGCACGCAGAGAGTGCGAGGGCGGTAGCTACGTTGAGAGGCTACCATTTTCTTTCCCCGAGAGCTCGTCCGCGTTCACCCTGGAGGGCCGGCTCTTCCCACCCTGTAGAGAAAAGTCTAGGGCCGCCTCCGGGACTTTCCTCATCTCTCCGAGAACAAAAAGTCCTTTGGGCACCGTTAGTCACAAAATACTCACTTCAGTGATGAAAATGCACAGCGCTGTGCCGGGTTCTGTAGGTTCCTAATGACTTAGCGTCCGTGCCTCCTGCCACACCTGCCGTGGGAGGCCGGGCCGCTGGTCTGAGGTCCTACACTTGTGCTGCCTCGCAAGCCCGCAGCCTGCGGGAGAGGCGGCTCAGGTGGCCCTGCTGGGACCTGCTACAGTCCCTCTGGACTTGCCGGGTGTCTCAGGCTGGCGCCTTGGGAGCACCGCCACGATGCCCCCTCCCGGGCCCACTGGCAGAACCCCCCCCCACCACCTGCAGATCACAGGTGACACCCCCCTCGCCCTGCCGCAGCCTGGCTCCCTCTGTTCTTGTTGGGGCCATCGCCCTCCTGGAGCACGTCCGTGCAGAGTCCCTTCAAGGCCACAGCAGGCCGGCTCCCCGCTCAGGCCACCGGTGGTCCAGGGCAGGGCTGCTGCGACCCTCTCCTGGCTGGGCCATCAAAGCAGCCAGCCCCAGTTGGACCTCGATGCTTCCCAGGCCTGGCCCCGGCACTGGCCTGAGCCCCCCGGGCCTCGGTCTTCATCTCGGAACCTCCCACTGGGCTCGGGGTGAGGGAGAGGCACCCCAGGGGTCAGTGCCACGGCCTTGCCTGACTCAAGGTGACTGTGGGCATCCTTGCCCGTCTGTGGTTTTGCTTTGGCCTTCGGGGCCCCAGTCAAACCTAAGGGAGGACGCGTCTCATTTCCAGTCTCCCGTCACACACGTGGTGAGCGTGGCCGAAAGTACACGCTTTGTAGAAACATCCAGTACAGACCGAGCTTCCCCGCTGACAGGCGTGTGGCTTTTGCAAGTTCCCGTAACCTGTCGCGTCTCCGTTTCCTTCCCACACAGAGGGTGCGGTTGTCACCAGCCCTGCCGGTGAGGTGAACGGCAGCGATCCGGTAACACCACCGGCTTCTTGTCTCTACAGAAGGAGCTGGAGGACTGTGAAGCCCCCTTCCGCTGCCTGGCCAAGCAGTTCCACCACCTGTACCGGGAGAAGCTGGAGGTGTTCCACGCGCTGCTGTGAGGGCCGGGGTGGGCTGCGCCTCACCAGGCGCCATGCTGCTGGGGAGCCACCAGCGGCCGCGGCTCCTCGGGGCCAAGAGACGCTGGAACTGCCCGGCCCTTCCACGGCTTCATGACGGCTTTAAATAAAAGAAGGTAAAGAAGCATCATCTCCTTCCGTTCTTGGCCGGGGCAGCCCCGGTTCCAGACCAGCCTGGGGAGCGGCGCTCAGAACCTTGGTGGCCCCTCGCTGGAGGCAGCTGGTGCTTGCCCGAGTCGGCGGTCCCGCCCGCCCTGGAGGGTCTGCACCGAGCGCAGCCCGCAGTGGGATGGCAGCTCGGAACTGGCCACACGGCCGAGGGGCCGGTGGCCGTCTCATTCTCACGCATTCACTTTGCTGCCTGTTCTGTGCAGGCGCCAGAGGTCCCTTGCAGCTGCTACTGTCGCCGACCACACGGTGCCCTCTGCCGGCCCCCTCGGGGCCCCCAGCCCTTCCCGGCTGCCGGGAACCATGGGTGCCCAGGGAGCCGAGAACCAGCCCGTTTTCCTTCACTGACCTGCCTCTCGGAGCCTGGCAGCCGTCATAATTCTCTGTACTAAGCTTGACTCTTTCCACCCTGTGCCTGCTGCCAGATTAATCTTCCTAAAACCCCATATTCACCCTTGTACTCCCCTGATTAAAGACCCACAGAGGTTCCTCATAGCCTCTTACATCAGGGCTGTGGGCTGCAGTCTGGCTTGGAAAGCCGCCTGTCACCGCGCCCCCCTCCCCCCCCGGGGGCCCTTGGCTTCATCACCCTCCCTCAGCCCGCACCCCCCCCACACACACCGCTTCGTGCAGAGCGCCAGCTTCGGGGTGGACAGACCTGGGTTTGTCCCAATGGCAGCGATGATCACGAAAATTACTCTGGGTGCTGTTGACGGCCGGCCATGTCTCTGCCTGGGCTAAGCACGTTACGTATATTAGCTAATGTAATCCTTGCCGTGCAGTCTTCTCGTCCCACTTCTACGGATTGAGGAACCGGAGTCAGAATTAAGTAACTTAGCCAAGGGGTGTTAGAGCCAGGATCGTGGACTCCAGAGCCCTGCTCACAGCCGCTGCCCCTTCCACCTCCCTCGCCCCCCCCCCACCCACCCCCCCGGTTTGGCCTGGCCCGGAGCAGGTGGAAGACTTCCCATCTGCAAAGAGGGTCGGCGAGGCTGCCCCTCGAGGTGACCACGAGAAGTGAAATAACAGGTGAAAGGCATCGGGCACGTGGAGGCACCATGCCAGGCCCCACCCTGCCCCAGCCCCTTCCTCTAAGGGTCATTTCACATGAACCCAAAGCAGCCACCGCAGGCTTCCGACTGAGTCATTCCTTCCAAAGGTGGTCGTGGAGGACCTACGACGCGTGGGGCTTTTTTCTAGGCGCCTTTTCTAGCCATGCCAAGCTGCTATCTCGGGCCACGTGGCCCGGAAGGGAAACCTACCAAAAACAACCAAGGAGCCATGGAGGGGACGTTTCCAGTTGCTCCAGGGTTGGTTACTGGGACCCTCAGCTGGGGACAAAGAGGTGTTAAGAGAGGACAAAAGGCTGGGGCCAGACGCCTTCCCCAGGGCACGATGGGAGGTGGCAGAATTGGCCCCGCTGTTGGGAACCCGCCGCCCCCCCTGCCAACCTCTGTGCGCCTTGCCTTTCCCTGCTGGTAGAAGAAAGCTGAGCAGCCAGCGAGGGTAGATGTGGTGTTGGCACGCGGGTACCGCCCCCAGAGAACCCTCCCGAGGCAGAGGGCACCGCCAGCAGGAGGCTGGAACCTCACTCCCCCCTGCTGGATGCCCGCTGAGCTGCAAGAACCTAGTGCCAGCTGCAGGCACGGGGTGCTGGGGGTGTCCTTGGGGAAGCTCGGCACGCACGTTCCCGAGCTGCGCCTGCTCAGGGGGACTTGGTGGGGAGAAGCCTGTGCTTCTCCCGACTCAGTTGCGCACGACCCCTGGAGGGCTCTTAGAAGCAGAGTCGGCGGGCCCCTTCCGGACAGATCCTGGGCAAAGGGCGCTGCTTCCCACCCGGAAAAGGCTTGGGCCTGGCCTGCTGGCAGGGCTGGAGGGGGAGACGGCTGCTCCCTCCCGAGGAGAGGCCGCCGCGGAGGAGGTCCCAAAACGACCAGGCACCCGTCTCCACGGAGACCGCAGCAGATGGAAACCGATAGAGACCAGGCAGGGGAGACAGAAGCCGCCCTCCCCTGACCCCTCTGCTCCCAGTCCCCCTGGAGAGAAGACAAGAGAAAGCTCTTGCTCCCCGCTTCCCGCCCCTCCTGTAGAGAAGCTCGGAGCCCAGACCGAGTTTTGAACCGGTCCGGTCTGAGTTCCGATCACTAAGAGCCCCTGAGAGGTGTGGGATCGCCCTGCGTGGAGCCCCAGCGGGAAGGGGGGCTCAAGAGAACGCGACAGAATAAAGCAGGAGCAGTAAGATGGTCAAGATTCTCCAAGAAACGGGTAGTACAAGTAAACAAATGATCGAGATGGTTTTCACACCTTGCTAAGTGCTAGGCAGACAATAAAACAGCAGCTGTGATCCGTGGTGGGGTAACTGGGCTGGGGGGCGGGGGGGCAGGAAGGACTCTAAGGAAAAGGGACATTTGAGCTGAGGCCCCACAGCCATGGGACCGTCTGAGGGACGAGGCAGCAAGGACAGCAAGTGCAAAGGCCCTGAGGTGTGAACGAGCTCAGAGCATCCACGAACTTAAGGCTTGTGAGGTGTAGTCCGGTGTGTGCCGGGAAGAGCGGAAGGAGGTACAAAGAGGCCATACTGGAAAGAACTTGGATTTTATTGCAAAGGCAACAGGAAGCCAGTGGAAACCAGCATAGCTGTTATGGACTCCCAGTGCCCCCCCCCCCCACACACACACACTATTTGGGGGGAATCTCGTCAGTGGTTATCAATTTCTTCACTTGCCTGGAGAGCCCATTCTCAGCAAACATGTAGGAGATGCACGCCAGGTCTGCAGATTTAGTCAGTCAACACTTGCTGAACACCTACTATGTGCCGGTGCCTGTTCTGCGAACCGGGGATCAGTCACTGAGTACAAGAAAAACCCCTTCCCTCCCTCTAGCAGCGTGAGGGAGAGCGGTCCAGTTAAGCGGGGAAATCACCGTCTGACAAATGGCCATAGAGCAGGAGAGAGCAGAGGGCGAGCCAGGGAGGGAGAAAAAGCACCCCCGCCAGGTCCTGCTGCTTGCGGACCTGGCTGGGGTTCACCCACCAAGAGGGCAGGGGAAGGCCAGGCCAGTGGGAGGCTGGGGACCCACGGGCCAGTGGAGTTCGGGAGTCCGTGTTCAGAAACATAAACGCGATGTCTCCGTGACACTCAGGCACTTCCCCTGCTGAGTCCTTTGCTGGGGGCCCACCACGAAAGGTTCCCCGTTCTGATGTGGATGGTGTGGGAGGCAGCCCCCGGGCGGGTGGCCCCCAGACTCCGCAGTTCACCATGGAGAGACTTCCGCCATGAGAACCAGCCCTGTGGTTTTCCAGGCTCAGATAGGTGATTTGGTTAGGTCACCTTCTGCAAGGACTCAGGGGCAGGAGGTAACCTGCAGCGTCCACGTAAAAATACATTCGTTTTGGTGATAAAACGTTGGGTTTTGGCACAGAGACTATTGAACAGCGTCCCGTCCCAAACCGTGGTGGCCGTAAGCACAGAGTCACTGTATCCCGGGGATAGAAGCAATCCTAACCCTGGGGCGCCTGGGTGGCTCAGTCGGTTAAGCGTCCGACTTCGGCTCAGGTCATGATCTCGCGGTTCGTGAGTTTGAGCCCCACGTCAGGCTCTGTGCTGACAGCTCAACCTGGAGCCTGTTTCCGATTCTGTGTCTCCTTCTCTCTCTCTGCCCCTCCCCTGCTCATGCTCTGTCTTTCTCTCTGTCAAAAATAAATAAACATTAAAAAAAAATTAAAAAAAAAAAAAAAGAAGCAATTCTAACCCAGATCTATTAGACATGTTTTGCCCATCCTGGAGATAGAGAGAGAAGACTTTGGTTTTGCCCTCGCCTGCCCCTTTCCTGCATCCGCCTCTGTGCAGGGCCCGGCTGCATATTGGAGATAACTGAGGTTGTGCCCTTGAGGAGCTCAGCTCTGGTGAGCAGGGAGAGTTTCCAGGGACCTTGCAGGAAAATACCTGACGCTAGCTGGGGAAGAGAATTCTAGACAAAGGGGACTGCATGTGCAAAGGCCCTGAGGCATGACGCTGGGGCCCCTCTTGGAAACTGCATGCAGGGTAGGGCAAGGACTGAGGGGTGCCCGGCAGGGGAGAGCTGGGCAGAAGGACAGACAAACCACGGAGCTTGGAGACCAGGTAAGAGATGTCACTGTACCCCAGCTGAGGTCTGATGGGGTAGGGTGGGGTGGAGACGGCTTTGTCCACATCCACCACTGACAAAACCTTGGGAAACATTGTATTTTCGGCCCAACTTGGAGCATCTATGCCCCCTCCTTTCCTCAGAACGCCAATTGATTTCTTCTAATGGATTATCCTTTATTTACTTTTAGAGACAGAGAAAACAGAGAGAGAGTGACTTCTTTGGGTTGCAAATTGTTAGCGCTGGAGCCTGGATTAAGAACTCAGGCCCGCGCCAGCCCTCTGTGGATTCTATGATATTTATGTATACGATGCCCGTTCACTCTTCCGCTGTGCCAGGAAAGCAAGCTGATGAAGATGAAGCAGATAGCAGAGGGCTTGTTTCCACCCTAAAAAGGCAAGAAGCCCGGGAAGGCTCATTAGGAGGAAATATCAAAGGGGCAGCGTTCAAGTGTCACCTGGGAGGTGCGCGGCGGTGGGGGGGATGCGTCCTTGGGAAAGCTGCTGTGTCACTGTTTCTTGGGGCAGAGGCGGGTGACTCCAGAGCACAGCATGGAAGCAGGAGACTAGGGGTCAAGACAGTGTCGGTTCCTGGAGGGCAGGGCTCCCGCCTGATACTCCTTAAATTCCTCTAGAAGAAGGTGGGCTTCTGTGGCAAGAGCACCGGCTGCCCATCAGAAGAGTGGAATTAGAAATCCAAGTGCGCGCGGGGGCGCCTGGGTGGCTCAGTCGGCTAAGCATCTGACTTGGGCTCAGGTCATAATCTCACTGTTGGTGAGTTTGAGCCCCACCTCAGGGTCTGTGCTGATGGCTCAGAGCCCGGAGCCTGCTTTGGT